GTGAGGTTTGTACGCAAGGTAAAATGTGTCAGACGAAAAGTAAGCTGGAAGTTAAAAAAGCGAGAGGTCCTCTTGAGTTTATTCACACAGATCTTAAAGGTCCTCTTGATCCGGAAGAAAGAGAAGAGTTTAGATATGCATTGTCGTTTGTGGATGATTATTCAGGATTGAATATGGTCTATTTTCTTAAGCATAAAAGCGATACACCACAAGCATTAAAACAGTTTTTAGCAGATGTTGCACCTTACGGAAATGTGAAGCGCATAAGAAGTGATAACGGCACTGAATTTACAAGCGAGAAATTCAAATCGATTCTTAGGGAAAACAAAATTAGGCATGAAACTAGTGCACCATATTCGCCACACCAGAACGACACAGTTAAGAGATCGTGGTTAACTTTATTTAACATGGCTAGGTGTCTATTGCTAGAGGCGGAACTACAAAAATCCATGTGGACATATGCCGTCATGGCATCTGCTTATATTAGGAATCGTTGTTTTAATTCGAGGTTGAACAAAACTCTGTTCGAAGCGTTTACAGGCTCAAAACCAGACTTTAGCAAAATGCACGTTTTTGGTTGTGTTTGTTATGGTTATTCACAAAATTCAAAAAAGTTAGACCCTAGAAGTAAACAAGGGATTTTCGTAAGGTGTGATAAAAATAGTCCAGCATATGTACTATACTACCCTGACATTAACAAGGTAGAGCGTGTAAGATGCGTTAAGTTCTTCAGGGAGGGTAGCAGGGATCTGCCAGAACTAGATGATGAAGAACTTGCACCTCAGATAGCAAAATTGCAAGAAAGAAACCCCAAAACAACTAACGAAGACATTAGTGCTCCAGAGACATCTAGAGAATCAAGATACCCCACTAGGATAAGAAGTAAGCCTAAATATCTTGACAGGTATGTGACAGAAGAAGTTTCAGGAGAGGATACTGCCTCATATACCGTAGATTATTGCAATAGAGTATCCAACATCCCAACGACATATTCCCAAGCAATAAGCTCCAATGAAAAATAAAAATGGCAAAAAGCCATGAATGATGAAATGAAAGCGTTAATTTACAATGATACGTTTGAACTCGTTCCACCCCCAACAAACAGAGATATAGTGGGGGGAGAATGGATATACACCGTAAAAGTAGGGCAACATTTCGTAAAATAGTAGCGAGAGACTTTCCGAGCGGAAATCGAATTCGTGTAATAAAAAGTAATGCCCAACATAAAGTTTTGATTAGAGATTTGATAGAAGTAGACCAAAAAATTGTAAAATTGAATTTATTGTAACGTTTCGTCTTTACTCAAGAGTCAAGACATCTTGAAACAAATAATAAATAGGATGTTAAGACAAGACATTATATTTAAAAAAAGGTGTTAAATTACTACTAAAGAAGGCGGTGTCAAATGGATTATATGATAAGGAAGTTAGGAAGTAAAATAAAGAGAAATTAAAAGAGGTTAAGTGGAATGGAGCTTACTTGCACGTTAAGTGAAGGCTTGTATTTATTGATTAGAAGGCTTTCATAAATGGAGAGTTCATAAGAATCGTTAGAAGAGGAGATTATTTTAAAGTCGTCTAAGTTGGGGGTGTGTCCAGTTGCGTTAATGTGAGCAAAGATGCTTGATAACGCTGGGTGGGAAACTTGGTTGCCTGTAAGGGGGGATATTCCCAAGTGATCCGAAAATCTGGTGTGTAGATGACGTGTGGTTTGACCCACATAAGAGGCGTTGCAGCTTCGACACTTGAATAAATAGACTACACCAGATCACAGAGGTTTGGGAATTTTGTCCTTAAAGCGGAATAGAGAAGAGATACGTTGGGAAGGGCGGAAAACAAATTTAATAGATATATGTGGGAAAGCTGCAGCACAAAGGGTATTGATTTGTGTACGAATTTGAAAGGAGTGTATGCCGGTGAAAGGAAGACAAAAATAGATGGGCATTTTGTGAGCAGTCAAGACAGGTGGTTTGGAGGTGTTGTTAAGGAAGCGACGTGTGATTTGGTCAATTATACGTGAAGGAAAACCGTTTTGGTGATGACTTTCTGGTAAATTCGAGTTGTGTATGAAATTTCGTAAGTAGAACAAAGGTTGAAGATGCGGTGACCACACATGCGTGACCACACGTCATCTACACACCAGATTTTCGAGCACTTGGGAATATCCCCTTACAGGCAACCAAGTTTCCCACCCTGCGTTATCAAGCATCTTTGCTCACATTAACGCAACTGAAACACCCCAACTTAGACGACTTTAAAATAATCTCCTCTTCTAACGATTCTTGAACTCTCCATTCATGAGCCTTCTAATCAATAAACACAAGCCTTTACTTAACGTGCAAGGATAATCCCATTCCACTTAACTCTTTTAATTCTCTTTATTTTACTTCCTAACTTCCTTATCATATAATCCATTTGACACCGCCTCCTTTAATAGTAATTTAACACCTTTTTGTAAATATAATATCTTGTCTTAACATCCTATTTATTATTTGTCTGAAGATGTCTTGAGTAAAGACGAAACGTTACAATAAATTCAATTTTACAATATTTTTGGTCTATTTCTATGGCTCTAATCAAAACTTTATGTTGGGCATTAATTTTTATTACACGATTTCGTAAAAGCACTATTAATGTATTATATACGACAAGTTTTTAAAATAGACATGTTTGACATTCATGATGCCATTCAGTATGAGTGAAATAATAATGATACAGGTTTATATAAAGTAATATGATAATAATCTAATAATAAAGGAAATAAGATAATTATGTAGCGTCCGAGCGTAATATAAATCTACAATTTACTTAATAATACGCCGGACGCCCCTACACCTATGTTATCCTATTACAAAATTATGTATCATAATACTTTTGGTATAAACCTTGATCATTTATTATTCACTCTACCAGATGGCATCATGAGATGTCGAAAAATGTCTATTTTAAAAACTTGTCGTATATTAAATCGCATAGTAGCAACAAGTGCTTTACGAAATTATCCATGAATATCTATTTCCTCTACTACCTCGTGACCATGCACATGATGTGTATCGATGTAGAACATTACTATTATATAGTAGAAATTTATTTCTTTTTATTATTATATAAAGATATAAGAAAGTTAACATGTTAATTTTCCAAACTTGATTCGAGCTAGTTCCAAATCTCACCAAAATCAACAAATTTATCTTTATAAAACATTTACCTTACTTGTATTAAAATTCGCGCAGTACTAGAATTCGCGCAGCGCTGAGTGCGCGAATTTTAGTACTGCGCGAAATATAATCCACGCGAAAAGCTTTGTAGTGTAATATGAGACATTCATTGTTGGTTATGCAAATCAGTTGTTTTATTAACGCATATACATATTGACATATGCTTATAGTTGTCCTGGTAACATTAAAAATCAAAAATGTCTTCATTTTCATCCTGTACAATTTCAGTCGGGATATTCTCAGGTTCTACGTAGTATTCCGTCACGAATGCCTGCATTTTGCTGTATATCCTAAAACTTGCATTGTTCTGCATGACTGTTAGGGTAATAGGAATCTACAAGCCTCCTTGTGGTAATGGGGATGACGAAGTTTGATGTCACACACATGCTCTATATTGCCCCATATTCAAAAAGAACTTGCAAAATCGGGAAATCTCTCGAGGCAAATGTCCGACCAGTGACAATGGTTAATCTTGCCTCTGGATTATGGTAAACAGACCAATAGCATATTTGATTTTGTAAACAGACCAATAGCACATTTGAACTGTAGCTAAACTTTGTTTGACTTATAAAGTATATTGTTAGGCAATATCATTTATTACATTTTTAGTTCCGTTGGGACAGTGAACTCACGCTTTATTTTAGCCATTTTGAGGCCACAATCTTTTTATGAATATTGAGGTATTTCTTAATAAAGAAAGCTCAATATAAATGCGTTAATATTAATAGTTCTTTTGAACAAACCAAAAGAACGAGTACATAAAACTACTTGCGCGAATTTAAAGCTGCGCGAATAATTGTCAACAAAGTGCCGAAATTAAATCGCGAATCGAATTTAGCAAAATCTTACGAAATGAACAATTTTAATACAAGTAAACATTTACGTACATAACGCGGAAGTAGAATATTTTACAGAAAAACAAAATAATCGATAAATGGACATGAAACATTAAATCACAAAATCAAAATACAATATAACAACGAAAGGTAAAGTTTAAAATCAACATACCTTCACATTCAGAAAGATTACAAGACACAACCAACTACATGATATCTCAGGTGCGGCGTTCTAGTCGATTCTGTGGAATAATTTAAATGATTGACGTTTCCGGTCACGTGAGATATATTACCTACCCTAGGAAAAAGGCTCCTACAATATACCGGAAGAAAAACCCTTTCGTTTTACCAACCAAACAAATCACCCATTCGTCTTATGAGACGTGGCTAAAAGCCGGTAAAGTACGGGTACAAAACGTCGGCAGGTAGTCGTGGAGATACATACGTTGTACTTTGGTCGTTTAACTTATGTTATTGTGTCATTGGTAATATCGATAATATTTTCTGATTTGTGATTTTCTTGCTGGTAATTTTAAAAGATGCCAAGGTACACCAAATAACGGCCTTATAGCTGTTAGACTTTTCAACATTTATTTTCATTTTATAGATTTTATGATAATTTTGTAGGAGCAATAAAAGGTTTAAAGCAACTGTAGCTGTCACATATCATGATGAGGATGGCCATGTTGAGAGAGGAGGTGGATTTGTCAGAATTGGTTACTGAGGATCATAGAGGAAGCTGTTCTTTTAACAGTCCTGATAATTGTGGTGCATTGGAAGGCCATGAACTGGGAATGGAACAAGATAACAGTGATCTTGAAAGTGATGTTCACCATGATTGTGAAGAATCATCTTCTTATTACCAGAAAGTTGAAAGAAAACAAAAGCATGGGAAAATTTGCGACATTCAATTATAAAGAATACATTTCAGTTTGCTGGCAAAATTGGAGCAATCTGAAGTGTATTCATTGTGATAATGAAGCAAAGTTTAGGTGCAGCGATTGTGGTCCAATGGCAAAGTATTGTGAGAACTGTATGTTAAAGATGCACACAACCGTAAATATTTGTCATCATGTTGAAATATTTAAGGTAACCTTTATGAGCTAGATATTATAAAAGTGTTTACAGTTAACTCTCTCAACACTTGCAACAAAAAATGCAAAAATAAAATGAGAGTTTACATTGTGAAACATGCTATGAAGCACTAATCTAATATTTTTTATGAATGCAAGAAAGGGGATTGATTACAACTAATTTCTACGAGGTTATTCATTGCTTTGTAGGATGGCATGTTTTGGCCATATAAACTCATGAACATGCTGGTGTATGATTGTTCATGCCAAACAGCTCGTCACAAAAGAAGTGTTTCTGTTGTTGATGTTAAAGGTATGTTATATGTAAAATGTGCTGCAAAAGTTTTCTCATTTTAGCTGGGATGGCTCAACACAATTATAATTTTGGATCTTTTCAATTTTTAGGCACCTTTTGTACTGTTGAGGTACACTTTTGCTCATGCTCTCAGAGTTTGTTCAACTTCTGCAATTTGGCCTTTGGGGTGGAACACCTACAAAACCAAGAATTGCATTTGCAATTGAGTTTTGAATTGATTCATTCTGTGCAGATGGAATGCCAGGCATCAATAAAAGCATTTGTCAGTCATTTGAAGAGTTTAATCATAACCACATATTCTCTTCTTATGCAACACCAAAATGTATCCTGTCATTATAGATGCTTTTGAAGAATATAGGTAACTGCATGTAGGTCACTGATTTATTGCACTGCTGTACTACGTATGAATTGCTGGGAAAGTTGCAGTCAATTTTATAGCCTAAGAATCTCATCTTAAGAGATGTATTTAATTGGAGGAAATCAAAATGCTAAAGTTTATGATGGAAAGGATTTTCCTCAAGTATTACTGTCTTGCACTGTATTTTGTTTATGTCATTTGTTTAAGAGTGCATAATTGCTTTCTTTGTGTCATTGTTTTTCAGAATTTACAGACATAAACTAAACATGTTGAGCTGTGTTATTCCTGAGCTTGATGAAGGAAATATCTGTCCTACTTGTCCCAAAGTGAGTATATTCGTATTACTTGTTTAACAATGACAATTTAGTAAAAAGAACATTAGCAATGCTATCTCAAACACCTTTTTGACTGCATCATTTGCATCATTGAACTCAAATACATTGCATGATTTTATCCTTCACCATTTTATTGAAGACTGATGGTGTGATCTTTGAGTCTCTTGATGCTCTATTTATTGGATGAAGGAAAAAGCTGGGCAGAGTCTTGGAAAACCTCTATTTGGACAGCTGATGTTCTATGATCAGACACATGTTGATCAATTTGTTGCCAATTATACCACACCTACATCAAACAAGGTCAATGTAGCTTTAATATACTTTGTTATTCTAATGAAAATTCAGGCATGGAAGTTACAGTGCTTTGAATATATTTGATTTTTTACATTCTCTACCACATAGTTTTATTTTCAATAAATTTGTGCCATGGGCTTTAGGAAATAAAGCTCTTGTATACTTTTGTTTGTTACATATTGATACTTATAGGTGTCATGGTTTTCTTGCTGGGAATGCTGTTGATCAATGAATCGCTAGAGCTCTTGATGAAACAGCAATCTTTGGGCAAGGCTGTCGACATGAGTTTCCTAAAAATTCTTAAATTTGAAACATGGAGAGAGGTCTGTTACACACATTTTTCTCTATTTTACCTAAATGTTCTTGGTTTGAAAGAGGTGGTTAGGATGCATGCATTTGATGGTGTAAATTTATTTTTTCAGTTGGTTTGCTACTTTCAATGCTTTGTGCAAGTGCTGAAGCTTTTTGCATACATGTGGTTGCATTATTTAAAAAAATATTCTACATATTTTATAGATTGAGCTATGCAGTTTATGTTCTCCAAGCATTAGAGAAAGATAATGTTGATAATCCTGCACTCAAAATAAACATATTGTATGATGTTGCATGTATGTTGATGAAACATTTACAGGTAATGTTCAATTGACAATAGTTGCTTTGTTGCCTGTTTCCTTTGTCAATAACTTTCCCTCAACACTTTTTTTCTTTGAAAAGGTAGTCTTTCACATGTTTTTCTCTATTTTGTTTTTTACAAAAGAATTTGGAGGATCCGATTGTTGATATTTTCAATTTTCAATTCCAATTTTTCACTGCTATGGTCATGTTGGACGATGCCAAGTTAGTTGTTATTGTTTTTATTTTTCATACGTATTAACAGATGGTGATACCTATGCTATCATAACTAATGGTATTGTAGATGATAAAATGATAAAAATTCTATAATTGTTTACTAAATCTTTCTTGTAAAAGGTTAAATTTAGTCCCCGTCGTAAAGAAGGATTTGGCCTAACTGACGGTGAGATGTTGGAGAGATTGTGAGCTTACATTCAAATTTAGCAGAATGACTAAAGAAATGCGTCCAAGTCACAGAGTTGATGTACTCAGTGATGCTCTTTACATTATGGAAAGAAACGAAGATTAATTTAGGTATAGCTAGTTTTCTTTCTTTGTTTGAACATATACATAGCTAACATGTCATCATATTATGTAATAGCAGGTATGAATTAAATTTTGTTTTTTGAGGCAATTTGCTGATGGCAAGGATGAAGCGAGCTGTTGACGTGGAAGAAACTGCAAAATCAGATATTGAAAAGTTATGCAGGTGCTTTCCGTGTGAGTATATGTTTGTATTTGCTGTGTGATTATATTTGACTCCGATTTTGGATATGAACTATTTACGACTCACATGAAAGCAGTAAATTTTCTTTTTTTCATTATCTAAAGCTCACAGCATTTCAATAGATGATATTCGTGAGTGGATGAAGGACGAATCGACTTTTTTTGGTCGTGAAGTTGAGACTGGTTAGTAATTGAGAAACAATGGCTTGTAGCTAAGGAACAGATTTGACACATAATTATTGATGCTCATTATGTGGAAATGTTTTACCACAGAAAACTTTTTTACAAATATACGTAAATCTTGAACAACTTACAGAAGAAGAAGATTGGAAATGCAAGTACGTTATATACCTGGACTTGTACGCTGATCTTTACCATCGATGGAATGGTTGCACTGATCCAAGTGAACTGACTGTTCCATTTAATCAGATGAAAAGTATGTTCGAAAAGTTCAACATGTTTCTAGAGATATTAAAGTCTTAAACAGTGTGAATTTAGAAAAATGAAGTGGGAAAATTTTGAAGCTATGAATGTACGTCGTAACATTGTGAATAATAAGTTGGAATATCGAATAAAAATTATTTCTTGTTTTTATACGTACGTACAAGTAGAGATGTATATGCAACTTGCAGGTGCTTGTCTGACCGTGCCTTATATTTGTAATGATTTGGTATTTACTGTTTAGAATTGACGAGCAGTTGAAGATCATGGAAAGGAAAACTCAATTTCTGCACGCTGGCAAAATACTGACTCAGAGTACGAAAATGCATAGGCTTGGTAATGTTTTATGTTTATATCAATTGTTATCCATAAAGATTTGTTGGGATGTTAAAGAAAGCAAAGGATAGCAAGGGATTGATTGTGTTTGAAGCTACAAAACAGTGGGGGGAGATAAGAGGAAGAGAGAGGATAGGAGAGATCCTGGTGTGATTGATGGGTACAAGGGTACGATTACTACAATAATAATAGCTTTTGAAAGGTTGTCCTACTATCTCTTATTCTCTGTTATCCTATAGGACCATGGAGTAAGTTTGTTGATGAAGAAACTATTGCTAAACCATCTGAGGTATTTCAATTACCCAAATAAAGAGTTTTATAAAGATATTTTTCAAATCAAACAATTATTTTTCTAGCATTTTACCTTGGTGAATACAGGAAGAGTCAACAATACTTGAGGAGTATGAATTATCGAAAAAAAGCAAATCAAAGAAAGATGATATGAAACCTTCAGAAGAGAAATCCACATTACACAGTTTAGTTAAAATTTTCATACTTTCTTGTAGTTTCCTAAACTTTACCAAATGTAATTATTTTTCAGTTGAAGATGCATATGATTATCAAGGAAGATCATATCTTCACATTCCACAAGATCTTGGCATTAATCTCAAGTCAGATACTCCTCCAGAACTATGTTTTCTACCAAAGCAACATATTCATACGTGGTATGTAAACAATTCTCCATTTAGTTCATTTATTCAAAATCAAAAAATGGAAGTTAAAATACCAGAAATGACGTTAAACATGCTATTGAATTTTAGTTGTTCTTGTATTTGTTTGTTTTCTGTTACTTTACTGTAAAACAAAAACGGAAGAAATAGGAAAGTTTACTTACCAAAAAATAATTAGAAACGCCATGGAACGTCTGACTTAGAGTCATCAATATGCTTTAAATTTTGTAGATTTTAAGGAAAACACGTAATAATTGAATTAAGTTCGAAGACAGTTTATGATATAATTCTTGATGGTATTGATGAAGTTCAATTATACATTACAGTATTCATTAGAGAAAGCGTCTCATCCAAATATAAACTTAAAATATGAGCGTTTTTTTAATACGATGCTTCTGTTTAATTCAAGATGTTTAGGTGATCATTTGATATGTTTATAAAATCATATTTATCAGTGTATTATTTATTATAAAGTAATGATTTGTTCTAGTACTACGTACGTATGTTTGTAGATATTGTATTGGACTTCCTAAGCACTTGTTTCAAGAAACACGGCTAACTTGACATTTATTTATCATTTGACTCTGAAGAGGACTACTGCTAAGGTTGTCGAAACGTCAGTCAACATCAACACCAACAGTCCTTCACAGGACTCTACTAACCTCGACAAAAACGTAACGATACTTCCTGATGCAAATATTCACTTTATACAGCTCTTTTTAATAACATTTAAGTATTTGTTTTCCTAAAGTTCATCCTTCTACTGTCGTGATAAGAGAAAGCATTGGAGATATTCTTACTTATGTATTATTGTATTATTTTATCTTTCTCTTAGGTCTGGTCACACTAAAGGTGTTTCTGCAATAGGATTCTTTCCGAAATCTGCTCATCTTCTCCTGTCGTGTAGCATGGATTGTAAAATTAAGGTAAAAAGTCATTTTCTCTCTCTTACATGTCGTTGTTCATTTTGAGTTTGGTTGTACATCGTTGAATGTTCCTCCAACATTACTGGAGGTGAGAATTTTTAATAAATTACCATCACGACAAGCAATACATTTGAAACAATACATTTCCTTTCAGAAACTGCAAGATGATATTCATGTAAGCGCCAACGGCTCTGTTTTTGTAAAATCTAACATAAGACGAGAAATTTTACCCAGGGAATGTGGGATATTTCACATTCATTTGGTTACAGGTCACATTTTTATTGATTCAAAAAATTGTTGAAAAAATAACATTTGCATTTTGTTGTATATTTTGTAAGACTTTTTTGTCATTCGATGTACATAGCGTTTCTTCTTTGTCATTCGATGTACATAGCGTTCCTTCTTTGTCATTCAATGTACATAACGTTCCTTCTTTGTCATTCGATGTACATAGCGTTCCTTCTTTGTCATTCAATGTACATAGCGTTCCTTCTTTGTCATTCGATGTACATAGTGTTCCTTCTTTGTCATTCGATGTACATAGCATTCCTTCTTTGTCATTCAATGTACATAGCGTTCCTTCTTAAGTCTTTACTGTCCTAAATGGGTCTTGATATCTTTGGCTATTATATGTTCAATAAGTTTGATTTATTTTAGAATGTTAGAGGAGATATTAGACACACGTATTATGGTAAAGAAAGCTATGAAAGATTGTAAAGATGATAAAGTAAGCTGGTTTTATTAAACCTTTGTTTTTGAAGCGATGTTTGATGTTTTTATAAGTCCAGTAGGTAAAACGTCATGGAGTTTTCATCATGTTCAAAAAAGATGCCTTTCCACTCTTCGTTTGTTTTCTTTAATCATTCAATATCATAAATAATTTACATTTTAGACTCTTCTTCAACTTCTTGATGCTCGACAATTTGCTTTAAAGTTGATTGCAAATGTCACTTATGGTTACACACCCGCAAACTTCTCAGGACGAATGCCTTGTGTTGAGGTAACTTTGATCTTGTCATGATAGAAATTTAAACAAATGATAACTCTCCCCATTCCATCTAAACAGACCGTGCGCCGTAAACTTTGTATTAATGGATTGTATCTATATTATATACACTAGGTGCCAAAAAAATGAGTCCACTAAATATCGAGTGCGTATTTTTAGTTTTGAAGCATATTACCACTCTGTCACAACAATGTTAGGTTTTAAGTTCTCGAAAAAGCAATTTCAGTACATGGTATGTCCTACCTTAGCTTTCAAAATGGCTTGAACTCTTTTTGGCATAGATTTAACAAGATTTTGAAGTGTAGATGGTTCAATATTATGCCAACATGTGGAGATTACATCCCATAGCCTGTCCTGGCTTGTTACGTCATGTTTCACTTTTTCTCTTTTTAACTCATCCCATTAGTGTTCAATTGGATTAGCATCGGGCGATTGAGGTGGAAATGCCATGAGCTTCAATTCACCTTGATTTTCTTTGTCCCTTAAATAATTTGTGCGCAAGTTGGAGCTGTGTTTCGGATCGTTATCCTGAAGTAAGGTAAATCCTCTCCCGCGTAACCTTTTGCCAGATGGTACAGCATGCCTTTGGACAATAGAATGGTATTGCTTTTTGTCAAGATTGCCTTTTACTCTGTAAAGACTCCCATCACAATTAAAGCTGAAACAGCCCAAGATTTGAATGTTTCAACCCCCATGCTTCACGGTGGACTTGAGGCATTGACTTGACAATCTTTCACCACATCTTCGTCTCACATAAACACGGCGATTTTTTCCATATATTTCAAACTTTGATTCATCAGTACAAAGTACCTTTTTCCAATTGTCTACGCTGTAATGCTTGTATTTTTTGGCACATAAGAATCTCTTCCGCTTATTTATCGGGCGAAGCAATGGCTTGGAAGCTGCAACTCTTCCGTTCAGACCACTTGCAGCCAATCTCCTTCTTACTGTTGTTTTGCTGATTGCTTTTTCTCGGGTGGCGTTAATTGACGATTGAATGTTGCTAGCAGTTGCTCGTCTGTTGCGCAAAGAACTTAGCTTTATGAACTGATCTTCTTTTTTTGTTGTTATACGTGGTCTCCCAGGTTTTGGTAAGCTGGAATAACATTGCGTCTTTTTAAATCTTTCCACGGTTCGCTGCACAGCTCCTTTGGACACTCCCAGCTTTGCAGCAACATTTCGTTGTGAGTAACCTTCGTTAGTAAGAGCAACAATTTGTCCTCTAACTCCTTCACTTAAATCTTTAGCCATTTCCCAATGTACTGCCCATGCGCTTAGATATTGTGAAATATCTTGCAAACAATAGTGGGAGGCAATTTCAGGTCTCATTCGCATTTTCAAGTGGCTACTGTAACTATATATTTCAAAAGACACATTTTTTCCCACAACTTTTCCAATATTGGAACTGGACTCATTTTTTTGGCACCTAGTGTATATTATATATTTACCAATACACATATATATTTTAGATACAATAAATATATAATATATTTACAACAGATAATTGGTAAATATATAATATAGATACAATCAATCAATACAAAGTTTGCGGGACACGGTCTGTTACAATGGAATGGGGGGAGTTATCGTTGGTTTATACAATTTCAGCGATTTTTTGGGCCGCCTTTGGTTAAACTTTGTTATTTAAACATTCATATTTTTATAGCACAAATGTAAAGGGTTTTGGAGTTCCAGTAATTTATAATGGATCATAATGGATCACCATTTCGCTATTCTGTCAAGGATTGCCATCTAATACAGGTGTAAATGTACATAAATGATCACAAGAAATATTTTTTTGTTCAATTGACTTAACTTCTTTGGATGTACTAAACAATGTCATTTCTATTATTCGTAAAATATTCTTTTGTTTTTGGACCACTAACATTGTTTCTTTGTAACTCATTATTTTCGATATCAACAGACACATAAATGCAAGCAAAAGATTAATTAAGCATAGACGGACAAACAACGAAGCATGCAACATAGATATCAAAATAAGCCGAATAACAAATAGTGACTTTTAAACAACTTTCACGTTAATAAAATTTTTATTTCTTCAATTCATTTACCGTTTCACCAGGTTGGTTGTTGACGCATTCGACAATTGTTTGTTTAATGTGCTTATAACATTTTAAATTTTCCTTTGAATAATTATACAGGATGTATCATTGAAACATTCTTTATACAATGATAATTTCTTAAAAATAGGTACTCGATGAGTACGTAAGGATTTGCTTTTTATGATTGACAATTACAAAATACTAGTAGACATGACTGAGGCATTATTAGGGGCAAGCCTGAGATGCTTTCTGATCTTGTGGCTGAGGCAGACCTGAGGCATGTCTGCGATGCTTTTCAATGACATAATTCAAATCGCCGATTGACTACAAAAATTTATCTGCAGTTTGAATTTGACAAAATAGTACTTCGTAATTTGAAAATAGCGTTACTATTAGCAAATTATGCGGCCCTTTTTAAAGTCGTTTCAAAATACATCAAAGATGGGAGAGCCGGTTTGAAAAAAAAGAGAATAATTTGTATTTTACTCTTTGATTTTTGTACTCTGGACACGATTTATCATAAATAGCCCGATATTTGCGGATTGTATCCATAAGTTTTTATTTTTATCGTAAAGTGATTGGAATTTTTCCATTGAGTCTTTTTTTGGTTCCATGTCCTGTGTTGAAAATTCTTCCGCCTTCTTTTTACCCAAATGCATTATGGGAAATCGCAGGTCAATCGGAGAAGCGTTCACATTTAACATAAATAACCAAAATAAGTTCCGTACACCGCCATTTAGCCGCCGACATGCCGGGAAACTTGAACACAACTCAACATTTACGGAATTTCAGCGGTATACTGCAGGTAACTCCTACGACTCCCTGAAACACCATTAGTGTGTCAGCGATGTGTGTTTACATTTGCCTTAAGAACAACGCAGGCATCATCACAGGTATGCCTCAGTCATGTCTCAGTCATATGTGAACCAGGCTTTACGCAATCAGCAAACCTTAAGAATTAAAGCGTTGGCTCATAAAAAACAAAAAGAAATGAGATGAAATTAGCAAGTCATTTTTACTTGTGTACCATGTAGAATTAAGTACACGTCTAAGAACTGACTAATCAGAAAACACACGCTTTCCGCAATTTGGGGCATATTTTAAGATCAACTCAAACTTTCAATCTTTATTTGATCGACGAAAATTGAAGTCAATGACGAAGGATAACACAAATTAATGCTTAAAGTAATTATTAAAGCGTATTATATTTGAGATATAGAAACAAATTTAATGCTAATTAAGGGTTTCAAAATCTAGTACAACTTGATTAACCGCGGGTAAAACAGTGCTCTATGCTTTTATTTCTTCCAAATGGTTCACAGTGTATCGATTTCAGCGTAATGAGCGTACACTTGATGATCTTTGCAAATTTTTTGTAATCAAAATATCTTACAATGTCTCAAAAGAACTGGTCATCTTTGAAATCAGCCGATAGTTTGAAATTTGCATGATTCAGAGGCAATGATTGATCTCCACGCTAGGAGGTATAAAAGTAATTAAAATAAGTTTCTTGACTGGGATTTTTAATGCACTTTAGCTTCTATATTATACGTATGTAGTTATTCATTTATTATGTATTTAACTACGTTTAATTAAGGCTCCTTGAGGATCAATTTTTGCTGAATCATGGAAATTGTAAATGTCAGATAATTTCAAATATTGTCAAGGTTGAAAAATGAGACATCACCATGAAATATGTGATAGTCAGTCAACAAACCAGCAAAATCAAAGTGAAGCACCTTTCATGTTGATGGAAAAATGTTCAAAGGTGAAAGAATGCGACTTTGACCAAAATTTTTCAACGCGCTTGCATTTCACTCATTTTCCTACAAATCGCAACAAACAACATAGCATTCCATAGCTAGAACCTGGAACTCTTTGTTTAAATATTTAAAACTACAGTTATTTATTCAGTAATTTACACACATCAACAAGTAAAAGTTGTATTACCTTTTTTGAAACACCCTGTATCAAGAACTTACATCCCTAGACCGTGGGGGCTCCCCTTTGGATAAATCAACTTAAATGTATATTTTATTAAATACATGTATAATTTACGGAAAATAAAAAAATAAGAATCAAAGGAAGATATCAGAATTCAGGAATAACACCATGACAACTCGTAGCGTATAGCAAGTCTACCAGTGCTATGAAAATAAATGTTTTGTTCAATTACTTTTTCGTTACTCATTACACTACATATAAGATGACAACAGTAAATATGGGCCAGACACACATAATTAGAGTAAAAGCTCCATTTTTCTTGGCTACATCACTACCTAAAACATACATAAAGATAAATTACATTGTCAGGTGGTCACCAATGCCAGATCTATCAAAACGCTTGTCAGCAATGATTTTTATTGTGTTTAGTCTTTACAGAAGGGAATAGATTTGTGGCTCCATTTCAAGGAGCAAGATGCTTTGTTAGCCCTGGCTTTTGGGTATGTTTTCTTTCTCCTTTAACTGACCAGCAACAGTTGTATTTTCAATTTCTGTAGGCAAAGGTTTAAATGAAGTGTTTGTTTGGTTCTTTTTGTTGTTTAATAAGAAAAATCTTAACATGTACATTATTTACATGTAAAAATTATAGTGCTTAGTAAGTTTTCTAAAAAGCCCTAACACTGGCTTTGCTGTATAAATATACAAATTTCTGTTCACTGTGATAATTGGTAAAATCTAATTTGTATTTTAAAGAATTGTGTGTGGAGAGAAGGTTAATATTTTGGTTACTTGATTCAACATTTCTTTCTATTTACGGTTGGGGATTTACACCTTAATTGTTGTGACAATGTTCTTTTTTTGCTTACATTTAAATGTAGTAAATCTAATTTTTAATTTATATTTGATTTTCTTGGGATCAGAGATAAGCACAACATTTTGTAATGGGATTTTGTGGTAAAATCATTTATGTAGCTGGGAGAATCAGTTTCAAAGCAATGTAAAGTATAAACTATAGCTAAAGCAAGACATGAATGTCATAGCAATGAAAATGACTCATTACTGTCCATATCAGTAGTAAAGACACCTGTAGAAATGACTCATTTACTGTTCTTATCAGTTGTAAAGACATTAGCCAAAAATGTCTGGTCATGTCATTCACTCCTGAACATGGATACATACTTTAAAGGAGGGTGTTGCCCTAGAAATATATTCCTAATATAAACTTTTTATAGTTTGTTTACAATTTCTCTAATGTTCAAATAATGTTTTGGAAAAAAAATAAGAAGAATTTCCTTGCAAAATGAAATACTAACTGTTACACACAATGCCAGAACTCTTCAAGATGCCTTGGGAAAAAATGGCATAGCAGACTCTTTTTTGGGTAGGAGGCATATATTCATACATTCATGTTCTGCCACATTAAGTTCCTTTGAAATCCATTGTTTTCAACAGATTAAGACATGCATATAAGAATTTGTGCCCCTCCCCCCCCCCCAATTAACAAGTATCCTGCGCAACAACTGGGATTTTTTATATATTATTAAATATGGTAATCTAAAATCTGGTAGTCGGACAGTTAAATGTGTCATTTTCACTTCTGTCAATGCTATGGCAATGATATCCTGCTTTTTCTTCTTCAGGTTATTTATAACTTTTACTTTACACTGCCTTTATAAATTGAACTATAATAAAGTATTATTGAATCAATCATTAAATAAATATTTTCTCCAAAGTAAAAAAAAGCAAACATTTTCACAACAATTAAGATGTCAGTCCTCAAATCAAGTATGATTGAATCAAATAACAATAACTGCATGTCCATTTCAAACAACTACAATTCTCATAAATAGAAAGTATATTTTGTAAATTATATGAATGAATAGAAATAAATATAGAAAAGATTGTATTCATACTTATATAGCAAAGCAAATCTTGTGGGCTTTTCAGCATTTCAAAAAGGGATGTTACATGATCATGGTTGCTGTAAGATCAGTATTTACTCTCATTATACAAGAAAATGACCCAACAACATTCATTTTAAGGAACTTCACAACTCCTGAATAGCTAGATGTTGCAAACTAAACTTATAAATATACTTTGATAGTTCCATACAAGTTTCTTAAGAAAAACTGTTCCAGTAAATAAATGACAGTTGAAAACTTGAAAATACAAATGTTTGAATATTGTCAATAATATATTTATATCTTTTAAAAATATACAACTGATGTTATTTGAACCTTTGTTAAAAGAAATCTACAATACAACTGTTTCTAATCATCTTTAGTATAAAGAAGACATACCTAAAATGAAAAGAGAAATTGATTTCCTCTTCTTCTATCTCCTTGTAGGTTTTCTCAAAGACAGGAGTATTTTAGCTTCTAGCAAATAAAAGATAAATAGAAGTCCAAATGCTTCAGTTTCAATATCTATAGTTTGTTTATAACCAAATGAAGATTGTTGTATATTATTGCAGTACATGGTCAGGTCCAAATGTTTTTGTTTGAATTTCTATCGCTCGTACATAAAACTCTTTTGCTTTTTCATACTCTCCCATATTTATGTAAACCAAAGCCAGATTGTTGTACGTTTTCGCAATATTAACATGGTCAGGTCCAAATGTTTTCGTTGCAATTTCTATCGCTCGTTCATAAAAATCTTTTGCTTTTTCGTACTCTCCCATATCACTGTAAACTGAACCCAGATTGTTGTACCTTATCGCAATATTAACATGGTCAGGTCCAAATGTTTTTGTTTGAATTTCTATCGCTCGTTCATAAAAATCTTTTGCTTTTTCGTACTCTCCCATTTCACTGTAAACCGAACCCAGATTGTTGTACGTTGTCGCAATATTAACATGGTCAGGTCCAAATGTTTTGTTTGAATTTCCATCGCTCGTTCATAAAAATCTTTTGCTTTTTCGTACTCTCCCATTTCACTGTAAACCAAACCCAGATTGTTGTACGTTGTAGCAATATTAACATGGTCAGGTCCAAATGTTTTTGTTTGAATTTTCATCGCTCGTTCATAAAAATCTTTTGCTTTTTCGTACTCTCCCATTTTACTGTAAACCGAACCCAGATTGTTGTACGTTGTCGCAATATTAACATGGTCAGGTCCAAATGTTTTCGTTTCAATTTCTATCGCTCGTTCATAAAAATCTTTTGCTTTTTCGTACTCTCCCATATATCTGTAAACCGAACCCAGATTGTTGTACGTTATCGCAATATTAACATGGTCAGGTCCAAATGTTTTGTTTGAATTTCAATCGCTCGTTCATAAAAATCTTTTGCTTTTTCGTACTCTCCCATATTATTGTAAACCAAACCCAGATTGTTGTACGTTGTCGCAATATTAACATGGTCAGGTCCAAATGTTTTCGTTTCAATTTCCATCGCTCGTTCATAAAAATCTTTTGCTTTTCGTACTCTCCCATATCATTGTAAACCAAACCCAGATTGTTGTACGTTGTCGCAATATTAACATGGTCAGGTCCAAATGTTTTCGTTTCAATTTCTATCGCTCGTTCATAAAATCTTTTGCTTTTCGTACTCTCCCATTTTACTGTAAACCAAACCCAGATTGTTGTACGTTGTCGCAATATTAACATGGTCAGGTCCAAATGCTTTCGTTTCAATTTCTATCGCTCGTTCATAAAAATCTTTTGCTTTTTCGTACTCTCCCATATTATTGTAAACCGAACCCAGATTGTTGTACGTTGTCGCAATATTAACATGGTCAGGTCCAAATGCTTTTGTTTGAATTTCTATCGCTCGTTCATAAAAATCTTTTGCTCTTTCGTAGTCTCCCATATTATTGTAAACCGAACCCAGATTGTTGTACGTTGTCGCAATATCAGCATGGTCAGGTCCAAATGTTTTGTTTGAATTTCATCGCTCGTTCATAAAAATCTTTTGCTTTTCGTACTCTCCCATATATGTAAACCAAACCCAGATTGTTGTACGTTGTCGCAATATTAACATGGTCAGGTCCAAATGTTTTGTTTGAATTTCATTGCTCGCTCGAGAAAATCTTTAGCATTTTCATATTCTCCATTCTTCCAAAGCAATCACCCAGCTCGTTGTACGAATATGAAACATCAATATGATCAACACCTAACACTTTAGTTTGAATTTCTGTTATTTCATAAAGTACTTTAGTTGCAAGTTTATAGTTGCAAAATCTTTTCAAAACATCTACAAAATATTTGGCAAATTTCCAATTTCTTTCATCAAGTTTTTGTTTTGATGATTTTACATCGATCAACTTATTTAGGAAATGTTGAAATGATGAATTTGTTATGAATTTAATTAGATGTGGAATTATTTTGATTTCATCTTCTCTGTCTTCAAAATGATTTAGTGCCCAAGCAACTTGACAGGCAAGATCAGCTGCAGACTTTTAGAATTATTTTCGTTTTGTTTACAGCCAAAGGTCTGCGATGAATAATTTATGATGGCTTCGTGTACAACGCTGTGCAGGCGGATGTCGTTGTTTTCCGTTTGAAGGAATAAAGAACAATGCTTTAATTGAAGACAGACATCTTCTGCAGATTTTGTGGATCAATGCTTTTAATAAATTGTATTATAACATCTTGTGGTAAGGGATCGAAAGATATTATTGAGAAAAGTTTAAAACATGTTCCAACAAGATGGATTCTTCGGCATTTTTTGTACTGCTAACATAACAGTTTTCATTCCTAAGTAAGATGTGTTTATTTTTGAAAATTGCCATCCATGTTCTGTCGCTCTCCTTCATTCAACTTATCAAAATATTGCTCCCACGTGAATGTCGGATTTACACTTTTACACTACCTACGTAGGAAGCAGCATTTGCCAGGAACAACGGTTGACGATCTAATTTGTCTGATAAATCTTTAAAATTTTTCATCTTTATTATGAATATCAGAAAAGACAGATAGAAGTTGTCGACATTCTTCATTGTTCATACCATGACTAACTGAAATGTGTTTATTTAGATTTCCATCTGGTGGTATGGCATCTGTATTTTGGACAGTTATTATAATTTGACCATTTTTCCAGCTATGATCACCAACTTGAGGTAATAATGGATAAATTTTATGAAGTTCAACCACGTTATCTACAACAATCCACCATGTTTGCCAAGATTTCAGTTGTTGTGTCATCAATAATTGAAAATCTTTAATTTTGTCTTCGCTGCTTTTTGCTTCTTTCAGAGTATTTTCAATGACAGTTTTATCATTGCTTAATCGTTGACAAAGCTCAGCGTAAGTTTTCAAAAGAGAGTCGATATCTTTTCCTTCGAGTGTCATCACAAATGTTGTTTTATTTTCCCAGTCAAACGAGTTATACATTTCTTCACAAATTTGTCTAGCTAATTCAGATTTACCACTTCCAGGATTACCAGAAATATAGTAATATGTTAATTCATTATTGTTAGTACTGCGCAAGTTATTGAGATCTGCTGTGATTTGATTAAGTAACTCTGTACGTTTAACCACATTGTGATTTGGTTTGCAAGGAAGTTTTTGAAAAGAATTAAATGTGTTTCGTTGACTTTTAATTTTATTAATTTCAGTGAATGAAAATCCTAGATCTTTAAATGAGTTTTCAATATCACAAACCATTGTTTGAAATTCGTCATCAGAACTTTTCCTTTATTTTCATGGATGAATTTGTTTCTTAACACGAAGTTTATCCACAGCAGCCTTAATTTGGATCAATTTTGTTCCAATTGAGTTGGAAAACAATATTGCTGCAAATAGTGTTGTACAATCCCACTTACTTGTGTCACCCTCTTGAAATTTTGACAGAATATGTTTGTCATGACGTTTCTTTTTTGTTTTTTCATTATTGAACAACTTCTTACCACTGACGTTTGTATTTTCCCATTCTCCGTGGGATTTTTTGTAATGAGTGTTCCATTCTTGGACAAAAAGATCAACAAGTTTCTTTTCAACATCTGTAAGTATTTTCTCCAGGTAGAAATTATTAATTTCTTCTCTTGACTGCATCTAAGGGTCATAAAATTATTAGTATCAATATAAATTGGTTCTTTAATTAGAGTTTATAGACAACTAAATTTGTTGAAGATCAAACATAGCTACGTAATGTTACAGTTTTACTTGTACGTGTAAATGAATATCGAGGATGGCAGTTGAAAACAACGCAATTGGACATTTTAGTTTTCCTGCATTTAGGCATTTGGCTACATTTTGGTAGTGGCGTCGCCAGGATTTTGCGCGTGGGGAGGGGGGCACAAAATTAGTACCACGTCCGTCGCTAGCGAAATAGCCCTAAAAATTGCTTCTGCACTGGAAACGTTTGAAATATTTATCACAACATTAATAGTTTCAATTTTTTAACTTCCAAGTTTAACCTTGCGGATTTGTACATTCTTTGTGTTATAACGTTACGTAGATTGATTATTGATTTTAATGAAATGTTTTCATATTATAATACTTCCAGAATTGCAGTATTTTCATGAGCCTTACTCTTAGTCATTGCTATATTTGTATTTTTGTGTCTACAAGTTTGAGTCTACGAGTATACTTGTCCACGATCTCATACAAATTCTATGATATGGTGTAATGACGTTCATGATAAGCATCACAATATTACTTGTTCTTCCTTGCCCACTGGAGACTTGAATTATTCTAGAATTTTTGCTTTGTTTTTTTTATTTTTTAAGAAATTAAAATCTTCACCACTTGGCTAACAACCCAGAAAGGGTAAATGCAACGCAAACTAGTCTGCACAGCTAATAGAATTCTTCCCTTTAGAGTAAAGTTGTGCGAATTTCGTAAGGGCTACGTTAATGCCATGTGCTTCTTTTTCAATTTCGAGTGATTCATATAAAGACTCTTATATAAAATTCAAATTGGGGCACTTGGGGGCACAGCCAACTTTAATGGGGGCACGTGACCCCTCCCCAGGCCCCTCTTTAGCGACGCCACTGCATGTTGGAATGAAAATGGAGGTACTGAGTTATATTATCACTTAGGAAGGTGTTTAACAATTTGTCTAACTGACACACAAAGTTTGTGCAGGCCGTCTACTTAAATACAATGACTACTTAGTCAGCTGTACAATAGAAATATATATGAAGCAGAGTGTTCTGTAATTTAGCCTTTGCATTTAAAAACCATTTCTTAAAAAGATAATGATTGTCTTTAGAATTAATTGTAAAGATTTGATGCAGAATTCCTTTTCAATAAAAAATCATGTAAAATATAGGACATGTCATGTCAATTTAAATGAAAACCCAAATTCATTCTAGTTGTGTGCAGATTGAGACTGTGTCCAAACAAAAAACAAATTAATTACACACTGTGTGGTAAATTCTGTATTACCAACTATTCTGCTGTAATCGACATCAAATTTCATGTAAATGCCAAAAATGTACAAGGTGTTTCTTTGCATGAATTTAAAGTTTCTTAAAACATGCCTGACATCCACAATGAAAGATACGCGAAAATGACTTTATCGTTCTTGTCATGTCAAAAA